GGTAGAGTGCCATGGTGTTACAGCTCACAGCAACCTCCAGCTCTTGGGCTTAAGCAATCCTCTTGCTTCAGCCTCCCAAGTAGCTGGGACTATAGATGACAGCCACAATGTCCAGCTATTTTTTTTATTGTAGTTGTCATTGTTGTTTAGCAGGCCCTGGGCTGGGTTTGAATCTGCCAGTCCCAGTGTACGTGGCCAGCACCTTAACCACAGAGCTATAAGCGCCGCCCTCTTCTTTTTGAGACACAGTAATACTGTCACACCAGTTAGAGTGCCTCAGCCTACCTCACAGTGACCTCAAAATCCTGGGTTAAACCAATCCTTCTGCCTCAGCCTTCCAAGTAGCTAGGACTACAGGTGCACACCTAGATAATTTTTCTATTTTTAGTAGAGATAGGGTCTCCTTCGCTCAGGCTGGTCTGGAGCTCCTGAGTGATCCTCCCTCTTCAGTCTCCCAGAATGCTAAAATTACAGGTCTAAGCCACTATGTCCAGCCCAGAATCTTATTTTTAAAAAGTTACCTATGCAATTTTGATGTACACCCAGATTTATGAACTCAATATTAAATCTATCATGGACATTTTGGTCAATGCACTAAACAAGAATCATTGGTTTCTTACTTGTTGGAGTAGGTGTCATACAATCCCACTTTTCCATCATCAGTTCCAAAAGCTAAGCAACCTTCCTTGGTCGGGTGCCAGCATAGCTAAAAAAAAAAAAAAAAGAGTCCTGAAGTGAGAATATATAAGAAAAGGGTCATAAAGTTAAGGGAATCCTTATGTTATTCTTTATAGGCATTCAAATGGAAAATTTTCTTGCTTTTAATTTCTAATTGTCATTAAAAAGAGAAAGACAAAGAATATTAAAGACAAAGTGAAAGTCACCTGTAATCTCACTATCTAAAAAAAGCCACTGCCAACTTTATACCTTTTTCCAGACATTTTCATGAATTAACTAGATATATGCAATTGAAAACAGAGAGGTTTAAACATTTAAATGATATACATGACACACTACAGAGTGGGAATAAAATATTCTAGAACAATTTAGAAAATATGATTTTATTAAGAAAATTTGGAGGCTCAGGGCCTGCAGCTCAAGTGGCTAAGGTGCCAGCCTCATACACCTAAGGTGGCGGGTTCAAATCCAGCCCAGGCCCCGCCAAACAATGATTACAGCTGCAACCAAAAAATGGCCGGGCGTTGTGGAAGGTGCCTGAGGTCCCAGCTACTTGGGAGGCAGAGGCAGGAGACTCGCTTGAGCCCAGGAGTTGGAGGTTGCTGTGAGCTGAAATGCCATGGCACTCTACCCAGGGGGACA